CCCCGAAAAAAAAAAGAAGGATCTTTCACATGGCAAGGGGTGATGCGGTAGCGGGGGTGAGCCTCTGGTTATTGTTTTTTCTGCACTTTTGGGGTTTGTTGAACGAGGTCCACCACCCCATAGTCCGTGATGCGCGCATGCGCTCCCCGAGGTCGCGTTCAATTTTTTTGTGCCACGTGGTGCGCAGCGCGTTTGAACGCGATTGAACGCGGGCCCGGGGGCTATGAACGCGCGTGTTTGAACGAGAACGCGCGTTCGGCGCGTTCAACCGGTTACACAGGCTGATAATAGGGTAACCAGATTTCCTTACGGCACAGGAGAGGCAGTTGATGGTGGAGACCATGAGAGGAAGGCATATTGCCTATGCCTTTAATGATGACGAACGTGACCGCCTTGATGTTGATAAGATTTCGATGATTCGGATACATACCGTGCCACATGAGTCTTGGAACCTACGAGGTGCACAATATCCCAATCCGACTGATGAAGAAAATGTGGTAAAATATCTTGATGAGAAGATTCGCACGCATGTGTCGGACTGCTCGAGTGAGCCTTATGTATCCCTCTGATTTTGCTTCGTCAAACCAAATGGGACCTTACGATGGGTACAGAATCTGCGGCGACTAAATGCATTGACCGTAAGAGACGCAGGTGGTCTGTCAAATGCTGATGCGCTCTCGGAAGACTGCGTAGGACGATCTATAATTTCACTTTAGATCTATATTCTGGTTACGACCAATTTCTTGTTTACCCATCAGACAGACCGATGACGTCAATGCATACTCCTCGGGGCCTGATCTATATGAATGTCGCACCACAAGGGTGGACAAATGCGGTCGCAATAGTTCAAAGGCATATGGTAAGAGCAATGCAATCCGTAAGTCCTCATATTACACAGCCATACATTGATGATGTGGATGTGAAAGGGTCAAATGAGAAGGATGAGCAGGAGGTAAAACCTGAAATTAGATGACTTGTTTGGGATCATGTGTAAAATCTATGCAAGGTCTTGGATTTGCTAAAAGAGCATAACCTCACTGCGAGTGAAGCGAAGTTCAGGCATTGTATGCGTGGAGCTACAATCTTAGGATTTGTGTGCGATGAGAGGGGTCGTCGGCCAGACATTGAGAAAACTTACAAGATTATCGAGTAGCCAACACCATTCGAGACAATCACGAAAGTAAGGAGTTTCCTAGGGACGTGTGGGTTTTGGAGAGTGTTCATTAAAAGGTTTGCGGCTAAGACAGAGCAACTGCGAAAGCCTGTACGCCAAGGTCAAGACTGAGAATGGGGAGATAAGCAAGAATCGGTAATTAAAGGCCTAAAGAAAGAATATGAGGAAGGGGGTTTAATGTTGGGGGTTCCTGATCATGCCACCACACTTACAAGACCTTTTTATTATGGAAATTGACGCAGTGCCAGCTGCCTTAGGAGGTGTATCAATTCAGAAAGATTGTGAGGGAGAGGAACGACCTTTGAGGTTCGAAAGTTGGACACTTAACACAACTAAGAAAAATTACTCCCAGTTTAAGAGTGAGATTTTGACAGTTCTTCATTGCTTGAGAATTTTAAGGAATTACCACTTTGGCAGGCGGTTCGTGCTGAGAGTTGACCCAACCGCCCTGGCTGACTCACTTAAGAATTTCTCTCCATCAGATTCAACCATTGTCAGATGGTTTACGTACATCTGGATGTTTGATTTCGAGTTGGAGCGCATTCCTAGGGACAAGAATAGGGCAGATGGGTTAAGTCGCGTCGACTGGGATAAAGACAATAAAGGGGTAGTCGAAGATACTCCGCCAGTCGATGGTTTTTTTGACGAGGAGGAGGATGTAAAGCTTCCCATTAACTCCTGGTCGCTGTTTGTGGGTGAGCATGTTACTCCTAGACGACCTATATGGCTTGCACCCCAGGTCATGTACGACAGTCGGACATAGTCCTCAAGCCTTATATTGAGGAGGATTCTTAGGGAATACCAGGAGTAGAGTGGATGATGGATTTGGCCTTGGCAGATAAGTACCAACTGCGAGAAGATCTGGTCACAATGGAGAATGAACCTCAGGAGGTAGAAAAGCATGAGCGACTTATAGGGGGAAACTCGCTACTTCAGGATGAGGTCGTTAGAATTGAAGGAGAAAAGCAAAATAGGGAATAGATGTAGTCCACGAAGGCGAGGATGATGCCTTTGAAGAAGGAGAAATAAAAAAGGTTTTTCGCGCGGAAGAGTGTGACGGAGTATATCTGGAACTAGGGATACTCCTTTTGTGTGAAATGAGAGAAAAATATGTTAGCGAAATAGTCCTTAAAATGCGGCCAAATTTCTTAATGAGAGACGATCATCTGTTAATGAGAAGTGAAGGAAGGAATCCCAGAAGCGTAGTCTATGGAGTGTATCGACAGATTGACGTTATGACCGCCCTTCATGATGGAACGGTTGGTAGTCATAGGAGCGCAGATGCGACGTACTTAAAAATTCACGATTTATATTATTGGGATGGCATGGGACGCATGATTGACAATTATTGTAAATCTTGTGTACCATGTCAAGAGCGGTCTTCCATTAGACCTAGGGAGTCACTCCACCCCAGATATATACGTGAGGTTAGAGCAGTTGTCCATCTGGACCTATTGGCGATGCCTCTAGGCATAGGAGAGTTCAATTATATGTTTGATGCATGAGACAATCTCTTACGGTTTGTTGATGGTAAGACTATTCACACAAAGACTGGAGAGGTATTAGCTCGGTGCATTGAATAATATTACCTTTGTTATCCTTTCGTCTCATGATTCGTAATGGACAGGGGGTTCGAATTCGCTTGTGCAGAAATAAAGACGCTGTTGAGGGGATATGGTGTGATTGCCGAGTATACGACTGTGGCACACCCTCTGGCTAACACACCAGTGGAAAGAGGACACAGTACCATTACAAATCTCCTTGCGAAATTGACAGATGGTAAGCCTAATCAATGGCCAAATTTCCTAGGGGTTGCCTTCTTCGTGGATAATATTACTGTCAGAAGGAGTACCAAGTACGCGCCAACCACATTATGGTATGGCAAACATGCGACGTTCCCTATAGAAAGTTTCCTAAAGACCTGGAGACGACAAAACCTCGAAACGACCCTGTCTTTTGAGGAGTTGCTTGATCTAAGGGCTCGTCGGATTGGAGTCATAGAGGATAGGGTACAAGAATTGGCGAGTAGGATGGCAGACAGTCGAACAATAAGTTCAGGTGGGACCAGTTGGCGCGTGTAAGAAAGGAGCCTCTTAAGATGAGAGATATCGTGTTGTTGTACGACTGATCTATACAGAAGCAGTGGTCGAGGAAATTGAACAAGCGGAGGTTAGGGCCATATAGAATCACGAGGTGCGGCGAGCACGGGGCATATAAGATCGAGGAGATGGATAAAACGACATGGTAGGATTGAGTGTCTGGCTCGAGATTGAAAAAGTTTGTGGCACGAGATGAGGTGAGCATGGAACTGGCAAACCATGTGATCTCTAACTGAGAGGGGAAGACCTTGGTATAGCAAAGAGAAGAAAAATCAAGTTAGTAAGTTAGAAGATTATGATAGAATAAGAATAGATATACATATATATATGTAAAAGTACTTAGGTAGTATAGGAGGGCTGTATATATATATATATATATATATATATATATATATATATATATATGTATCTTACTGTCGTTTCCTGACATGCTTACCCCCTGTGCGCCTGTTGTCTCTTTACCTTTGACAGCCATGCCAAGAGGGAGGGGCGGAGCAGGGCCGATGGAAGTTCCGTTGAGGACTACCAGACGAGGGGGGCAACAGAGGACCACCAGAGAGAGCAGGCCTCCTATTTTCGATGGATGGAGTATAGAGATGTTTTTGACTAGGTTTGAGGCTCATGCCTGTGAGCATGGTTGGGGAGTGGCCAGGATGCTGGCAGAGGTACGAGGCAATGGTGAGTGGGCTGAGCCGATTGCGAGGTTTGTCAGGGAATCACTCACTTGGCAGGAGTTTGAGAGGAAGATGGAAGGACTGCACCCATCACCGGTGGGAAGAGACAGATTGCCCATTCGCTTCGATTCTTCCAACTTGGACAAATTTCTTTGGGCTTATGATCTGTTCGCAGATGAACAAAACATTTTGTCAGAGATGAGGGTTGGAGGATTTGTCCAGTTTGTGAGGAAGGCCATTAGGTCTTTTGTCAGGACTATAGTGGAGCGAGCAGCTAACTGGGGCGACTGCAAGCGCTTATTGAGCAACAACTACACTTCTGAGCGCCAAGCAGACAACAGGAGAGGGATGGAAAGGAAGAGAAGGGAGAACAACCATTTTGTCAAAACGGACATATTATATTTTTTTAACGAAATCAAAACTGACTTTTTTGGCCAAAATCCGGTCGGAATTTTTGGCTTCTGGGGGTCCGACGTTCTGGGAACACGAGCCAAAAATTTCGACCGGATTTTGGCCAAAAAAATCAGTTTTGATTTCGTTCAAAAAATATAATATGTCCGTTTTGACGAAATGGTTGTTGGAGCCAGAAGGAACAGAGGGACAAGCAGTGGGACGTGATTCATCCTATGGAACGAGAAGAGAGGAAAAAAAGAGGAAAAAGCATATGCCCCACAAGCTTGATACGAGGAGAGGGCAAGTAACAGGGGAAGCACGGAGAGGAGGAGCTTCAGGTGATTCAGGACTTCCTCCAGAGCATGCTCAGATGCCCGATCGTTGTTCCGAGTCAGGGAAAGCGTCTGATCAGCTTCATGAGCCAGCAGCGCAGGATCACCAGGAGCAATAAATTGTCAGAGAAAAAGAGATGGATAAGATTGAGAGGGCTGCGACAGAGAAGCAGATCAGAATTCAACTCAGATTAAAGAACCTGGCCGAAATGAGGAACAACATGCAGCAAGGGAAGCGGCCAATGGAAATGGAGGCCAAGAAGACAGCTCAGAAGGATGACCCTCCTCTACTCACAGAAGCTTGGGAGAGCTTCGACAGGTTGATGGAGGCTGCAGGCAGACCCGCGGAGAGGCATTAGGAGATGGGGATTAAGTTAGTCTCCACAGACTTACTTAGCCTGAAAGACCTCATGAACGAGGGTTTTGCAGCAGCAAAGACCTCTGATGAAAAGATAGGGAGGGGAGTGACAAAGGTGGCACAAACGTCTCATGGTCGGATGATGGATTGGGAAAGAGAGGTTGAACATCTGAAGAAGGAGATAGAAAGGCAAGGCAAGGAGATTGACACTGTGAAGACTGAGATTGTGGACATCAGGACTGAGAATGGAGCCCTCAAGTTGGTCAATCTGACCCTTAATAAAGTCAACGACGTTCTGAGGGGGCAGCTCCAGGCACAACAAACCTCCTTCCAAGCTAAGGAGGTTGAATGGGAGAAGAGGTTGAAGGATATTGAGGTCAGATGTGCTCAGCAGGTGCCTACAACAGCGGTGGATTGGACTGAGGTCCAAAGCTTTGGAATCAAGGGGCAATCAGCTGAGGACCTCTTCAAGCATCAGAAAAAGGAGGCAGAGTGGGAGAGAAGATTGAAGGACATAGAGTCCAAGGTGGATTGCCAGGTTCCTGCTGCAGTGGTAGATTGGGCAGAGGTCCAGGGATTTGAGATCAGGAGTCATCCTGCAGAAGAGCTCTTCAAGTACAAGAATAAGGAAGAGAAGGCAGACCAGCAAAAGAATGAGGAAATTCCCCTGCTAGACAAGGAGATGTTAGAGCCTCAGGAGAAGCTAGCAGGAAAGGAATTAGATGCTAGAGAGTTTGAGTGGAGGATGTCGACTGGTTTGACACTTGAGCAGGAGCCAATGAGGCAAGAGGAGAGGCCACCAGCAGAGGCAGCGAGGGATGAGGATGCCCCACCTACGACTCAGGGAGAGACTGTGGGACAGCAGGAGGTTCTGGGGAGTGTGGGTCAGGACTTGATTGAGGCTGAGCTGAGAGGGGATCTGAAGGTTTGTCAGGAGTCCACCACACCTCAGGATATGCCTCTTGTTGCAGGTCTGGAGGATGCATTGGGGTCTTTGGCGACTTGATCTGGGCCAGAGGGGCGAGTTAGTGAGAAGGTGGCGCAGACAGATGACAGAGCAGCATGTCCCACTCCCCTAGAGGTTCCACAACAGGAGGTCACGAGTAAGGTTACGGCAGCCTCCTCATCTGTGCCCTCACAGGAAAGAGGCAAGGTGGAACAAAAGAGGGTTGGAAGGTGCTTCTACTGCAAGAGAGGCAATCACTTACAGGAAAAGTGTCCCGAAATCCTCAAGGATGGCGCAAATGGCTTGTTTGCTTGGGATTCATCTGGGGTACGAAGGGACAGGAATGGAAACCTGATCCTGAAGACTCGTGATGGGATACGGGCGCAGTTGTATAGGCAGCTGCAGGAGAGCATGAGTGATCAGGAGTAGGGTTCTTTGATAGGGTCCGGAAAGGTCTAGTATGTATTGAACATCTCTGACTCACTGACTGATGGTTGCTTCTATATAGGAGGACACATGGAGGATTGGATCACGCTCACGTACATCAGTGACTTGAGTTGATACTGAGATGTGTATCTTCGCCTTATGGACTTCCTGACCTAACTGTAAATAGGAGTGACTTCGAGTGTAACTTTGACTCATTTTGTTCATCTTTTCTTGCCTTTCTCTTTTTTTTGTATAGTATAGGATGTCTTGTAGATAAAACCTTTTGTGTATATTACGACTTTGTTCATTCAGAGTGTGTGTTCATGAGTTTAGAGTAGAAGCAGTGTGAGACTTGCGATGATAGTGGATACCCGATTTCCTTTGACTTTTCTTTAACACTTTTCTGTATGATACTCAGACCTTTTTCGGTATGTCATTGACTGGAGTCTTTGCTTATTGCAAGGCCCCAGACTCCGTGTACATGTGCGAGTCTCATACTTTATTATTTTTGTGTGGTGTGTCACATTCAGTCTCAGTTTTGTGAACTTGCCCATATGAATGATTGATGTGATGAAAAATAAATGTTGTGAAATGAACCGATCTGCACAGTCTTTCATTGTACTTGTGCATACCTGTCCCATTGACAGATGAAGCCCAAAGTACAGTGAAAGGGAGTGCACCTCAGGTTTTGAGAAGGAAATGACATGCTGTATTCAGCAAAGATTTAAATGATGGTGAATGGAAAAGTCACAACTAAAGTTGTGTCTTTTGTATGGCTTAGAAAAGAAAGAGGAAAGTCAATGGTCGATTGGACTTTCTTAAACAAATGAAATTTGTGAGAGCACTCAAAAGAGATGTTATAATGATGAAAATTGCTTTTGCTGTGTGAAAGTCTTAGGAAATACCAGATTGTTTGAGAAAATTATGAATTGGAACTTTATGGCAAGTATGATGGGCCTGTGACTCTGTGAGAACCATTTTTTGAGAGATGTCCCTAAGACGTGTAATCTTACCTATTCTGATCAAAGTACGGGAGGCACGACCTTGTGGATTATTGAGAATTTTGTTAGAATGTTGAGAAAGGCACTATCCCTCCACGTAGTCCCGTGGGCAGTAGGTATGTGATCCTTTGAATTATTCGAAAGACTTTTTAAGATGAGAATGCCAGACCACAATGAAGTCAGTCTAAGGGACATGTTTGTAAGGCTAAGTTAAGGGGCTATACTTAGCATCACTGCAACAGTAGGACCTAACTCTCAGCGAGGGCCGCTGACCGGCACAACCTGGCAGCAGGACCATAACTCACCAAAGGTTAAGTCTTGAAGGGTCGGCCGCCCGAAGAAGCTTAGCTAGAGGGAAGGAATGGGGTTGAGTCGGGACCCTTCGGGGTACCAAGATAGGAAGGACTGCTTATCGTTGCCCAACCAACGAGGGCACCATCGCTATATAACAACGTGATGAGTCGTGGATTCGTCATGATCAACCGTTCTGCGGTGGGCCATGATGGAGACCTAGCCCACCTGTGATAGACTCCGAGATGGGCGCTTGAATATTTGAAAGTGGTAAGACTCACCATTGGGGACTAAAGGTGCCCCGTATTTGAAAGAGGTCTTGGTTAGGGCCCGCGCCCTAAGTTATGACCCCGTACGCGGGACGATGACTAAACCAGGACACCCAACAATGAACCGGCAGACGTCTAGGACGATGGGAGAGGGTTGTCAACCTGCAACCTGAGAGCGGATATTACGCTGTAGTACGGAACAAAGTATCCCCTAACTCTGAGGCCAGGACATGGAAGACCCAAGTTAGAACCCTGGAAGTGGAACACCGTGACGGGGGCAGGCTGAGAAGATACCTCGAACGGATTTCGACCGGTCGATCGGATTGGTTACTTCCTCCCCAGCAAATGTGATTTTTGTTGAGTCTATAGTTTTTATTGTCCGATGTGACGGGGACGTCGCTTAATAGGGTCCGGAAAAATTGTCGGCCCGAATACCCTTACACGGGTATTTGGGCACGTTTTTGCATCTCACAGAAAGTGTGTTTTTGTGATATTCGAGAGGGCGTCTCATTTCTGTGTGACCATAACCAATTCTCAGAGGTTGGGAGTGGCACACGCCTTTGATCTGATTAGCGAGTGTGTGAGCGTGCACTTTGAGGGCACGCACGAGTTTAGGCAGACATCTGGTTAAAATTGTGACAGCGACATACGCGCCTAGTAGCATGAACTAGAAAAAGGTTGTGAGGCAACTGCAGTAGGAGCACACAAAGCGCATTCGTGTTCAAAGCCAACATTTGGATGGTCAGGGCTACAGTTTAGTTATCAGATCGGCATGACTTATTTATTACAGGGTCAGGATCAGTGGGGTACAAAGTGTCTGACTTCCTAGGCCGACCATGATATTTGGTCAATGACAGGAGTAACGGGTGATATTACAAAAGTCGGGGTTTTCAGAATGGTAGCCAAGTGAGAAAGTTGGAGTTTTTGGATAGCCACACAGTTGTGCTGCATGCACGACGGCAGCCACGGGTAAAATTGACCCCCTCATGCAGCCAGGGCCGGTACGTGGAAGCCGTATACACGACTGGTGTTCCAAAACACGGCCGTAGTACAGTCCGACAGGCCTGGGCTTGAACCGGACGTCTTTATAACCAAGGTTGCGTCTGTTATTTCCAAGCTTGGGCCTAGCCCTATAGGTTACGACTTTGACTAACACTACGGAGATTTCGGGATCGAGGCCAGCAACCGGCGACGAGGAGCGGAGGAGTGTCTTACAAGAGGGCTGAGTGGTTGAGGGTCCCGCGTGACTATCCCCCCCAGTTTTGCTATGGAATCCGACTGCGGGCCCAATAGGCAGGACCAAGGGTAGGGTTCCGACGGTCCTCTCCCCCTCTTGCTCCCCTTCCTATTAATTACTTCTAATTTTTTTATTTATTTTTGTCCCATTCTGGGACGCGGTCCGGTGCCAGTACCAGGACCGACCGTGGACCCAAGAGCCTAGCTAAGTGGGTACACCCATAAACTATTGAAATACAGACCCGTGCTCAAATCCAGTTGATAGAACTTGCTGGGTGAAACCAAATATTTATGAATTGCCGAGGGCCGGGCGGCCCGCAGATGATATTCCAGGGCCACTGCCCTGCCACAGTCCTTTGGAACATCCGTCGGATTGGAACGATTCAGAGAAGATTGGCAAGACCGTGCACACTTAGGCGCGCGACCGACCGAACTTTAGCAATCGAAGTTTTCTTTTTTTCCACTATTTAACCAGGCTGGTCGGATCAAAGCGGGTTGATATCCAGATTCTAGCGGAAAATTCATTCGATTTTGCTCATTCTACCGATGGGGCAGAGTGAAGACAACCGCGAAGTTAGAAACTTATCTATTGGCTGGTGCGATGTTTATCCTATCGATGGAAGTAGCCTCTCTTAATCTCCTTGCACGTGTGGCTGAAAGAGTCGAGGGAGTAAAAGGTGACCAAGCTATCCACCAAACTGGTCCGTTCCTTTTGTCTGCCTGCATCTGGCCTCGATAGTGACCAGATGCTTCTATAGTTGGAAAGAGTAGTGCTACGAGGAAGAGAAAGGAAAGGGGGCACTTGACGTGGACGCTACCTCCGGATCTTAGCGGAAGGGTCAGTCTTGGCTCTTCCTAGTAGGGAGCGAAGCCACGGGCGGATTGTTGGTACATACCTGTCCATGGTTGAGTAGGAGATTCATTCTGATTTTGGTCATTCTATGGACCGAATACTCTCCTCTTTCTTTCGTGTGCTCAACGACGTCTGCATCTGACAACTTCTCAGATCGAAATCACACCTATTTTTCTTTCAAAGCGTTTGTCTGCAGTAATGCATGCACCTGGTCTTGATCCAAGGAGAGATCCACTGTTACTGTGCACATAGGAAGGGGTCGTACCTTACCGGGCTTTTAGCAGAAGACCACTCCTCAATAACAGACGCAGCTTGGCAAACGAGCTCAACGACCGTACGACGTACACTTAGTAGTAATTCAGTTGTGGATGTAACGTCAGTCGCAGGGTGCTAGTAGTTTAATAGCAAAGGTTTAGGTGTTGAGTGCCGAAAAGAAGGAATGACTCTGAAAATATATGTCGGTGGCGACGAGAGCATATTCCCAGAGTCGGGACTTTGATTTCCCTAGGTCAATGCGTTTCTGCTTTCGTTGCACTCTTGTGCATGTCTCGCATAATGGAGCATAGTAGTAGCAGCGAGCATCACCACTATTCCTCTTAGCTGCAACTGACGTACCAACGTTCTGGAGGGAGTGACTGGTGCATAAGGGTTGTAAAGTCGAATAGGGAGGTTGTGTAACAGTTCAGAATTGGGTGGTTAGCATGGGTTGCTACTCTATTTACTCGAATGTTGTTGACAGAGGTGTCTAGACAGACGCTTGACATTTGCAACGAGGTTCTGTGGTGCTACTGAGGGCTATTGCATTGTGTCATTGCTTCTGTTGCAGGGCAACGGATTGTGGGCAATTGCTGAAGGCGGTGTCACTACTGACCACACAGCCCGTGCATATTGTTGTGCCTCCAACTGTGTCCTGGTCGTACATATTCAGGCTTGTTGAAGTACTTACCGTGTGTTGCTGTGCTACACTACGCACGCAGCAGCTGATGAACTTCGTCGGTGCTAGTTACCGCTACTGCTGAGTTTTACCGTGTCCTTCTACTGTTAAGCTCGTCCCATCGCTAAGCTAAGCAGTCTGCTGCGCCACTTCTGAGCAATCCCCTATGTTTACCACGTCGTGCACTACGAGACCAAATGTGCCTTGCTGTACCTTTACAG